TTTTTTTCCAGGGTCTTGCTTATTTACATATGAAGGGCAAAATGCACAGAGAYATAAAGGTAACTTGGAACCTGGAGAAATTTATTTTGCAGTTCCTGGTGCAGGAAAAATATCCCTGATAAAGATTTTTTAACTTCTTTTGTTTTAGGGTGCAAACATTTTACTAACAGACCATGGAGATGTTAAATTAGGTAAGTTGTCTGAATTTTATAATTAGTTAATTAATTAATTAATAGGGATTTAAGAGCCACCTGGGTGTGGCACTTGGGGACATGGGGAATACTTGGATTCCATGATTTAAATGATTTAAATTATTTAAAGGATTTAAATGATTTAATTTTCCAAATTAATGATTCCATGATTGTTTGGGACAGCAGATGATGAAGTGTGGATCCATCCTTGGCTACATTGGAGATGAGAAGTTTTGCATTCTGTCAAAAAATTTTAGATAATTTCATTATTCAGCCACAAATCCTTGAAACCTCCCARATTTTCCTGGAWTTTTCCAGGCTGGCATTACCTGGATGTCAATGTTTTTATTTTTGGCAACAGCAGCAGTTGTTCCTCAGAGTCTCTGAGGATCTCTTGGGTAGGAGAACATCTCCAGAGCTTGGGAGCCTTTGGAAAAATGGGATCTGATCCTGGATTTGGGTGTGGTGTTGGGCATTTCTACTAAAGAGCAAAACTCTGACATCTGTGGGGAAAAATTTCCATGGGATGTCATCATCCCACTGGAATTGGGCAGTTCAACACCTTTGTAGAGAACAGGAATGCTGTGTTGGGAAAAAACAGCTTTTTTAAGAATGAAAAAATTAGGAATTAAATCTTGACCCTGAGAGGAGATTCCCTGCATTAAACTTGGGATTCACATGGTGCCTCCCTTTTGGCTGGCTGGATTTTCCCAAGTTATCCTGCAGCTTTCATACCACAAATCAATCAAAATAAAATGGATTGAAATGATTTTTGGCTCTGCAACACCACCTGATGTTTGGGAGCTCTGAGGACAAGGGATGATTGTCCCTAAACAGAGAACAAATGCCCCATCACCATTCCTTCATAAATAACACACAAAATGTACCTTTCCCAAGGCTTGATGATATTTTTCCTCATAAATTAAATATCCACAAATGCTGGTTAATGTGTTGTGAGATGGAAAAATTACCTAGGAGAGGAACTGTGTGTAGAAAGAAAATTATTTTGATTTGAAATCGTATTAATGAAGATATTCATGATCTTATTATTGATCTTTAACTGTTGCCCTGAATGAATTTTTAATTTAGATAATCTAATTTAGACAGTAAGATTGGGTTCTTAAACTATGATTTCTAAGGCTCTGATGATTTTATTTTTTATTTTATTTTCCAGCTGACTTTGGGGTRGCAGCAAAAATCACCGCCACCATCGCAAAGAGGAAATCCTTTATTGGCACTCCATACTGGTGAGAACCCACTTGGATTGCTGTGCAAAGCTCTGTATT